TGAAAAGAGGAACAGTTGGCGATCCCTTGTACTGTACTCAGTCATCGAAAATGAAAAGTCGTTGAGGTGGAAGACATCTCCTCTGTAAATCCGCGTCTTGCTGCCACTTTTGGCTTCTCTGTCGACGAGTGGCTCGTAACGGGGCTTAAACAGATCTCAAAATTCCTTTCATCGTTCCGTCGACTTACACGCGCCCCTCTGCCAGGCAAGATTGAGAGAACTCCTCGTGCATTACAGAGGTCTTATTAGCGCGTCGTAGATACTCGCAAAATTTAGGACGTCTCTAGCCTTGCCAGGGTCCGTACGATATATCTCCCTGATGGGACTTCGGGGAACAATTATTGCTATCCTAGCCCCTTCCGCCTTTATTCCAGCCGTCTCCACGATGAACTCATTGAAGGCTTTACCGCTGCGCCATTCGCTGCGAGCTCCCGATTTAACGAGACGAATGCTGTGATTCACAATCTCTGGCGGGACGGAACGATGCTTGAAGTCAATTACTACGCGGATCATCGGCAACTTTTCGCCGGGTCTTGTTCTACACTGACGCGGACAGTTAAATCTTCATTTAATAATTTTTTTACAAAATTGAAACCAAGGATTAATATAGAACGTTATTGTCTTCTAATTGTGGTTTCGTGAAGTAACGTATGAAATTTCTCAAAGTACGTTAAAAGAGTTACATGCACATGTGTTTATGAATTTTGAGTTTCGCGGTTTTTCTGCACCATGCATTTGAGAATATTACGTTACTTGATGAGTATTTAATTACAAGAAGAGTAGAGAGGCGGCGGGGCGCAGGCGCCTTTATAAGCGCGATATTAAATAACTTGCGGTTAATTTATACTTGCTCTATGCCCACGTCAACGTTTTGCTATGAATGCGAGCGGTATGATCCATGCATGCAGGCATGACAATTCCGGGATAATAAATTAATGCTCCCTCAAGAGAGCAGCGAAGTGGTAAAAGCCTCGCGCGTCGCAAATTGCTGGTTCTCATTATTATTGCTGCTGACCGTGGCTAACGGTCCTCTAGCCTGCATCCCGGTGAGCGTGGTAGCGCAGGCGTTATGACGACGACCTGCGTTAGGCTAATGATAACTATGGTATGCGCTAACGAGCTTTGGTATTCCTGATACTGATCTAACTCGCTCGTGCCTATCAAGACTGCTGATATCTGCTCGTCGCTCTAATAAAAGTCGATTGATTTGCGCAGGTCATAGGCCGCGGACGTGATTAAAACAACGCCCGGCGACCATCGGCGCAATAATTAGACGATCACGCGATAAGTAATTATTGCATCAATTTGCGCGCACCTGCAGTGCCGTGTCTTGCAGGAGTATTTCCTTTGTTATATTATTCTCGCTTGTTGCGGGGGGGGGGGGGAGGGAGGGGTTCTAATATATCCACGCAGATTAAAGCTTCGGTGTACCGACTCAAAGTAAATTTAACCCGCATTTACGGCAAGCTGTACCACGAAATTGGTGTTAAATTACTGTAATTAATTGCCACGAGTAAGCTACACCTCTGCCGTATGCGTCATTACTGTGCCCCTATGCTTACCGTACGCGAAAATTCCGTTATTTCTTTGTAAATTAGTGTGCCAAGTAAAAAATAATCACGTGTTGGGATCGCGCGGCATAATTAATAGGATATTAGAGGACAGTCCCCTATTATGAGACAGGCTTCTGATGTGAGATTTTCGACGTCCAATTTCAATCACACACGTTTTCGTCGCGACGAGTACACGATCAAGCAACGAAGTTTCCGCTAAACGGATTTCGCTCCAAGAGCAATAAATTCGTGGCGGAACCAATAGATGACGTTTATTAATATTGCAAAAACCGTGCTATCTCATATTAGGAACTAATAAAAATATATCTTAAACATAGTCACAAATTAAAAATTTTGTGGACACCTGCAAACGTTTATACGACGTAAAATAATAAATATCTATAGCTTCGCAAACTCATGCGTATTGATAAGCAATGATTTTATAAAAATTTCTAAGGTAGGCGATATTAGGTGCCATTTTTACCCCCGATCTTGCCGTTTTTGCTTCTTTTCAACGTGGATTAAAATTTTTTAGATTTTAACCGTTCTAACCTATTGTACACGAAACACAAATATTTTCTCTTCCATTTGAAATTAAATACAGAGAAGAATGTCAATTACTCTTTAAATGAGAACGATTTAAATTTTGGTAGGCGATATTAGGTGCCTTTGCCCTATTAACCCTCAGTTTGCTAAAGTTTTCAAAGTAATGAAATATTTCAAAGAATTATATATACGAAGCGTATAAATGTTCGAAACAATGTATATCCGCGTGAGCTGATGTAACATATAGAATTAATTACGGCGTAAAAATGGATGTTAATATCTAATTAACTAATCTATTGTGTTGTGCTAATTTCGAAATTGCTGTCTGTCCGAATGTTATTGTTGGTATTGAATAATATAACGCTTTAAGGCCGATAGAACGGCCAGCCGAAATGGTATTTTTCTACAATACTTGGCGCATAATGTTGCACTAGCGCGGCAATAGCGGCAGTAGCTCAACCGCATCTTCTCCGCCCTCCACATTTTCTCCGTTCCATTATACGTGGACGCGGGTCATAATGTATTCGCTCGGTTTAAAGCGTCATGAGCGTTTCTGCGCGCACGAACGCGCCGAGCGCCAGGCGCCGGACGGCAGGCACCAAGACCCGGGGTATAACCCGTTGCGGCATGCACTGCCGCAGAATTGGTGTTAAATTACAATTATTAATTGCAGTAAACAAGCTACATCGTCGTCCGCCGGTACACACCCGCTTATGTAGTCGCGTCATTTGCCTTTAATTCGGCGAACGGCGAACAACGCGCGCTCCCAGATTATCATGCGGAAATTTTCCGGCGAAATGACGGGGATTATTTTAAAGCGGGCCGGCAAGATTTCGCGAGGGTCTCGCCGCGCTCTCCTCGCGCAGAGTGTCTCGGTGAATATCTCGCAGGTTAATTTACTAACTGACGTTCTTAGGACAGTGCTAATCAGCCTGAAGCAATTTCCTTGGGCCATCTTGGAAACCCTGGACCCTCTTAGAAGCCTTGGGCTCTCTTAAGAGAGAAAACAAGGATATGAGGCTGAATAGAAATTTAAAATGTCGAGCTTTTAGTTTGTTTTTTTAAGAAACAATGGACAATAATTCTAGATAAAAATTTCTATATTCTAAAATTGTAAAAATGGCACAGTCATAAAAGTTCAA